TCCGGGGACCAGCCCCCTAACATGGCAATGGCAGAGATTAGAGCCACCCTTAAAACCTAAGAGATACAGAGGTGTTGATCTCCAGCATATCCTCATTTAATTCACCAGTCTGACCCCTACAGAAACCAATCAAATCCTGGAGGATGACATTGGACTATCTCAAACTCAAAAAAGTAGAGGTCCCAAAACAACTGCTGTGCCAGAAGTGATATTTTAACTACAGAAAATTAACATTGCTTCAGCTACATGGTATATGGACATTGATCTGATGAATGTATTCCTTTTCATCCTTCTCAGAGATAACCAGAAGTACTTTATATCCATATAGAGAGGATAGCAGCATGAATTTATACTTCCATCCCAGGGCCATGTTAGCTCTCTTATCCTACATTATAGCATAATGGGCAGAGTCTGAATCATCTGGACATTCTGCGAACATCACATTGGTCCACTCAATCAATGACATCATTGTTAATCGGACCAGATGAGTAAGAAGTGGCAAGTGCATCAGAGACCTTGGTAAGACACATGTATTCCAGAGGGTGGAAAATAATCCCTACAAAGATCCCCTGCTTCATCCATAAAGGTTTTTGGGGTACAGTAACTTGGAGGGTGACAGAACAACACTTCCAAAGTACCGGTCTGGTTACTGCATCTTGACCCTCCCATCACTAAAAGGAAGCACAGTACCTGGTAGTCCACACTACACTGATCCATTTACTAAATCATAGAGGAAGCTGCCAACTTTGAGTGGGACCCAGAAGAGGAGAGGGCTCTGCATCAGGTCCACACTGCTATGCCAGCAGCCCTGCCACATGGGCCACGTGATCCAGCAGATCCTTCAATATTAGAGTTATCTATAGTAGGAAATGGTGCCATGTGGTGTTTATGGCAATCGCCAGTAGGGTAAATATGATTAGTAACACTTGTGTTCTGAAGCAAGTCTATGTCATCTGCATTAGAGAATTATATGTTATTTAAAAAGCCACCCCTACAAGCTACTTGGTGGTAAGTAGAGGTAAAACTCTTGATCGTGAGATATCAAAAGATGATGGTGCCAGAGATACCCACCGTGACCTAGGTTCTGAAAGGCTCATTAAGCCATAAGGCGGAGTAGGCCCAGCACAATTCATCAGAATATGGAAGTGTGTAGCCAAACTGAGCACAAGTCAAGACTAGAGAATACAAGTGAGCTGGCTGAACTTGTGGCCCAGCCCCCATGTCGACCACCACTGGTGCATTAGTGCCCCTCCCTCGGCTCACCCCTGATGACTAGGTGGTGGGGTGGAGGGTGAGGCGCTCATCACTTATGACCAGCCAACAGAGGAAGGAAAGGGCCAGCCTTGGTTCCCAATGGTTTTGGTGGTGAAAGCTGAAAACAGACCTTGGCTGCACTACAATCTCAGTCATGGGTGGAATATACATTATACCCTTCCCATCCTGGAAGGGGTAGCGATTCATCTTGACTAGAATCAGCACATATTCCTGATATGGGCTTGCATTTCTTGTTTGCAGGANAATTTAGGCACAGCGCTACTGGAAGGTTCCCATTTCCATCCCAGACTTGTGGTCTAAATATTATATTATAATAGTTTCACTAGCCATAAGGAACTTATCCTTCTTAGAATTTTTTTCTTCTTTTTATTTAGAGGATAAAAGAAATGCAAAAGCCAGCCTCAGAATCAAGGCATAGGGGTAGATGATTCATTCTCATCATGTTATCTTCTGAATGGTTAAGTGCTACCCCTGCACTACCCTCATTCCTTATCTACTCCAGTGCCATTTCAGACAAACAAAATGATTACAAAAAAGGCAATCTTAGAGAGATGCTGGTAAGTCTGATGGACTCTGGTAATAAAATTATTCCAAACTCTGCCGCCCACAAAGATCTGGCAAGAACAAAAGGATGGGTGTTTGTGCAGATGCCTCGTCATAGTTAGTGAGCAAGCAGCTCAGTGTCACTTACTTGCCTCAGGCTCCCGAATCTCGTGGCAAACAGTAACTCGCTTATCTTCAGAGCCCTCCCAGAAGGAAGGACATTAGTATTCACTCTGATGAGAAACCAAGAAATTAGAGTGTTCCTAAAGACAAAAAAAAAAAAATCAATGACAGCTTTGCAAGCCTACCTGAGGCTCCCTAGGTTCTATACAGACATTACAGACATACTTGGGCTCTGGTGTAATGAGCTTCTCATGTGTTGCATTTTTTTACAAATTGAAGGCAAGACCCTCCACCAGCAAAAGGATTAGATTCGCTTTACTGCGGTACTTGCTTTACTGTGGTGATTTGGAACAGAGCCTACAACATCCCTGAGGTATGCGTGTATACAAGTTCTCACTCCCATTTTGGGATATAAACTACTATAGAATCCTTGAATTTAAGAACTGGGAGGACTTTAACGGGTACCTATGCCAACTGAGCACATTCATTACTTAAATCCCTTTAGTTAACATCTCTGCCAAGGTGTCATTTAGCCTCACTTGAACGCATCTAGTGAAGGTTCCAACAGAGAATATGCAGAAAAGTAGCCCTGGGAGACTCAGTTATAGTTATAAGGACTGAGTGGGTGGGGGTGATTAAGGAATCCTGCTGGAGGGAAGTGAGAGGGTATTGAGACCTCACCTTAGGTTTGGGGAATGTGGAGACAGGGACCCAGTATGGGCTTCCTCACAGCTCAGTGTTTGTATAAGCAGCACCCTAAGGGGGCAGGTGGGCTGGGCAGATAGGGTGGAAGGAACACACCACTTCCCTAAGCAGCCCTTTCTCCAGTTGACAATTCAGCCCTTGTACATCTTAGTCTTTCTGGACTGGGTTGCAAGCACAAAAATATTGGATTGGGCATAATGAGACTTAAATTACTATCCTACATCTGCTAGAAACTACCAGCATGACCTTGGACAAAAAAATTATCTGAAGCTTGGAAATAGGTGAAAGAGATCACTGGGTATTCTTTCAGAGCCAGACTTGACTTTGCATTTACTGGACTGTTCTTGCTTCACCATTAGGCAGAGGTTCATTTGGAAAATTTTGTTCAGAAGAGATGCAAATAATTTCTTCCCAGAAAAATTAATAGCTTCAAAGTCTACAGTTTATGATCCTGTTAAACATAAACCAGTTTTTGAATAGCTTATAACCCAGCGAGCCATTAAATTGCCTATCTATACCTAGCTTCTCAAATGCTCTTTGGGCCTGTTTTAAATCTCACTGCTTTTCTCATTACTTAATGAGCCCAGTAAAACCTTCGAAACCTATTCATTTAACATCTGTATGAGACATTATTTTACCTTTTTGAAAATTATATACTACTTTAACAGGCAACCCATTTCTGCCTCCGAGGATTGGTTTCCTTACCTGTTAATGAGATGAATTAGGACCAGGAGGCCCAATCTAGGGTATCTGAGCCACTAAGCCACCTGGGACCCTCTTTCTCAGCTTCCCAGGGTCTCCAGAGAAATGGCCAACCCACCTCTCTGAAGCAGAGATTCAATGGCTGGCAGGAGCGCTCCCTGCTCCCCTGCCCCTAGAGGTGCTCAGGTCACACTCGAACACTGCTCTGCTCACCTGCAGCAACTCTAAGATTGTTCAGAAGTTCTCAGGAGCCAGACTACCTTGTTTTGCCCAGTTTACTCTCATTGCCCTGCCCCTCCCTTCCCTAACCACCCACTACTTCCCACTATGAAGCTCAGAAATTTCTCATTCCACATCCCCAGGCTTTTAGTTTAATCCGGAGGGTAAGGCATCCCCCCTGAGTGTTCACCTCCTTGACATCCCAAGTAGAAAGTGGTGCCTTTTAGCCTCCACTGAGGCAGCAGGGGTCGAATAGCTACTGTCCTCACTCCCGCTGCTCTAAACCTGCTTCTGGCTGTGACGTCTGACAAATCTGTCCTTCCAAACCTCCAGAGGCTTTTCCCCGCTCTGCTTTCTTGGCCTGAGGACATTCAGTCATCATACACCAGCTGAAAGTGCCTTGAATTCACTGGGGCTGAACATGTGAAAGAGAGATGGGGGCAGAGAACATGAAAAGTAGGTCAAGAAAGGCCATTGGATGCATTTTGCATTTCTTAAAAACCATAGTTTTTGGCCCTGGATGATAATTAATGATTGACACTTAGAAAAACTTTTCCATGTCAGGGGGTGACTGATTTTGTTAACAGGAGTTTTTTGCTGAGCCTTCTCAGGTCAGATCTCTGTTTGCCTGGAAATAAGCTCAGTACTTA